TCCTCCATGGAGATGACAGTCTGGCCAGAGGGAGAAGGCAGAGTATGCTGTGGGCCTCCTCATTCCTGTTAGACTAACTGGTAGAATGGGTCTGAGCTCTGGGGCTTCCACTTCAGAGGGCAGACTGATCTCCAGTGGTCTCCTTTGCATTCAGGGCATGGCCCAGGGGGCTTCTTAGGGCAGTTCCTCTTGAGGTGGTCTGGCTTTTAACAGCTGTAGCAGATGAATTCAGTTGTCGAGTTCTTCTTGGGACCCTGGGAATCAGACTTAGGGTCTGTTTCTCTTAGTGCTGCATGCAGTGATTTCTTGATGCCAGGTCCTGGTCCCACATCTGCCTGTGGGGGAGTAAGAAAAGATGGATAACCTGAAGAGGGTTTGACAAAGCCAAATGAGTACATAGTCAGTTTCTTCTTAGGCAAAATACAACCTCAGCACTTGCCTTCTGATCTGAAATCTTGCCTCCTTGTCAGGTGATAGTGGTGTTACTAGTAAAACAAATAAGTGCTTGTCTCATTGGGAATATAGAAATAAAACAGCAACCGGCGCATGGTACTTTTCACCTGTCCTCTCCTCCCCATCTCGCCCACTCCCAACTTCATGCTCATTTTCACTGCTGTGTGTGTTTCTCTTTGACAAATGCCATTGCCCTTGTATTTTATCTACACATCACTCACCTTGCTTATTGCCCACTCCCACCCGCACTCCTAAGCAAACTCCTGGAGGGCTGAGCTCCTGGCTGGCTGTTTGTTGCCATATCCAGGGCGGAGAATGGGCCTCGCACACGGTGGAGGTTCAGCGTCCCTGTGCTGAGTGGCTGGGCAGCGAGGGGACTGCCGGGAAATTGCCTACAGCTGACTCCTGGAGCGTCCAGGACCCCGACTCTGGAGGGCCGTCATGAGAACTGAACAATGTTTTTATGGGATTTGCAACTGGCTCAGAGTTTGGAAGGACAACAAGAAGTTTACACAATGAAAATAATCTTCCAAAATTTCTTTTTTTTTTTTTTTCTGGTACCAGGAATTGAACTCACGACCCTGCGCTTGCCAGGCAGGTGCTGTGCCACTGAGCTAAATCCCTAGCCCAAAAACTATTTTTTTTGGTACTAGGAATCGAACTCAGGACCTTGCACTTGCCAGGCAGGTGCTTATGCAATTGAGCTATATCCCCAGCCCCCTTCCAAACTTTCTAGACAGAAAGTTGAATGCATCTAAGCATAAAAAAAGGTATAATAAAGGCATTTTTAGAATTTCCTCATTTTAAAACCTATTATGGATTTTGTGTCTAGATCTATTAGTCTTAATAAATTGTAAGTTACTCAAAAGTTATTTTTTGAGCTGGGATGCTGTGGAGAAAACATTCCGTTGAGGAATGGGGAAGGCAGTGAGCGCTCACGGTTTGTATTTACCATTTTAGAGGCATGTCTGCATATGTGGGGACATGTGGTGTGCTTTAAATGGTAGGGACACATCTATGGATTTCCTCAAGTTCACAAGAACATTCATTCATTTGTACACTTTATTTTATTTTTTTATTTTATTTTTTATTTTTTATTTTTTTTGGTTTTTCTCCGGTACCGGGAACCGAACTCACGACCTTGCGCTTGCCAGGCAGGTGCTTTGCCGCTGAGCTAAATCCCCAGCCCCCATTCATTTGTACATTAAAAAAATTAAATAAACTGGACATGGTGACACATGGCTGCAATCCTAACACTCCAGGAGGCTGAGGCAGGAGGATTGCAAATTCAAGTCCATCCTGGGCAATTTAGGAAGACCTTGTCTCAAAAATAAATTTTAAAATAAATTAATTACAATGGCTGGGATGTAGCTCAACATGAAGGCTCTAAGTTCAATCCCCAGTACCATAAAACAAACAAATATATGCCACTAAGTAGCTACCACAGACGAAATACTTGTAGTATTCTAAGTATTTCTCTTTTCTTAAGAATGGGATGTGTTTTCTATCTGTTAGAAGTACAGACTTAAGTATGGAGATTTGAGGAAATTAAGAAAAATTTTGGCCAACTTTTTTTTTCTCTTAAGACAAGGTCTCATTGTGTAGCCCAGGCTGGCCTTGAATTCATGGAGATCCTCCTGCCTCAGCCTCCCAAGTGCTGGGATTACAAGTGTGTACCCCCATGCCTAGCTTGGGCCAACTCTAAAAATCAGTAGATTTTATATACAAAGCCAGATTTCCATCTTTTAAAAAAATTAGTGGAAACACTGAACACAGGGGGCATCCACTTTATGTGGCTTGCAGTTGGCTGGAGATGAGGTACTTCCTTCTCTTCACTCTTTGGCATAGTCTCCATCACTCCTGCTGTCCTCCTGCAGTTGGGCAAGAGATGGGAGTCCCAGAGTAAAGAAGACCATGGAAGTTGTACTATGTCCATTTTATTAAGCACAATTGCAGGAATATTCTAGAATTTAAAATATAAAAGTTTTGCCCTTTCCTCCCTTTTGAAAATGAATAATAATTGGTTTTAAGGAAGTTAGTATAAATTTGGGAGGTGATTTGGGAGAGATCAGATTTCAAACACATCAATGATGGATTAATTAACTGATTAATTAATTAGTTTTATAGGGCTTGGGGTTGAACCCAGGGCCTTTGCACTAACCTACAACCCCAGCCCTTTTAAATTTTTAAACATTTTAATGTTGAGACATGATCTCACTATGTCACTAAGTTGCCCTGCTGGGCTTGGAGGCTGCTCCTCACAGATATTAGGGCAGGGTGAGCCCTGGTTCACTGGGTGACTCAGCTGAGGGATCACACGAGGACCGCTGGCTGGAGCGTGCAGACCTTGTAACGGGCATAACCTCGTACTCAGAAGACATTTCATAGAGCGTGGCAGCTGTGTGGTACATCTGTTGGAGATCCCAAACAAATCAGTTTCCTAAGCATTAGTTGGGAAAGTCTGAGCTTGGCACCAGCTCTGCAAAGAAGCCTGGGCAGTTTGAATTGCATGCAAGTTTAATACCCTGTAAGTAACGTGAGTCTGTATCCATGGGATAAAAATACTTAGTCCCGTTACACACAGAGCTGCTCAAACTACACTGGAAGCACTGTACTAACAAGGGTATTGAAAATTAGAGGAGACCGCTACAAGGGTAGTCAAGAAGAATCTAGAAATTATAATGTAAGAAATGGTTGAAAGACCTGGATGTGTCAGGTCTCCAATTTAACCCAAAGAGGAGAAAACTAAGGAGGGAGATGCTGTGGTTGTCTTCAGCTATTCAGGGGATTTGTTGATGTGTGGCCTGGTAAAGCGTCTGAAGTTTATGGCTGTTGGAAAAATAAATGAATAAAAAAAGAGGTTGTGTGGTGTGTGTGAGTGTGTGTAAATCACAGGGGTAAAGGTAGATTTAAAACTCCTTAGAAAGGATTTGTAACAGCACTCTGTCTGAGGAGGAACAGCACATTCTACTACATTGGGAAAGACTGAGGACAGGCCGAAGGGGCCTCTGTTAAAGATTCATGAAAAGAATACCTACATGCACTGCTAGCCCAGATTCTTGAGAAGTAGGGTAAGATGGAAAGATGAAGGCTTTGGAGTCAGACAGACCTCAGAGCAAATTATATCTTTGCCGTTCAGTTATGTGAAGTTAGGCAAGATACCTACCCTCTCTAAGCATTCATTTTCTAGCCTTTAAGTGAGGATAAATACACCGATGCTAAAATGTTGTTGTGAGAATTAACTGAGCTGACGAGTGTGAAGTCCCCGAATCCAAGAGGGCTCTGCGCAGATCTTACCAACTTCCCTTGGAAGTTGCTGGCCTCCAAAGCAGCAGAAATTCCTCTGAGGCAGCAGTTAGGAAGTCACGAAATTTACTTTCTCACCTTTGTTTCTTCAGAGGGTGGAACAGGCCTGCAAGGGGCGTCTGCTCAGCACCTGGGGCACACTTGCTGACTTTACTGTCAGCCCTCTGGGCAGTCCGGAAACAAGCTGCTGCTGGGGCTGCGTGGCCACTGGGGACAGTGTGCGCGAGGGCATGAAAGCAGGTTTCGACTTCAAACGGAGGTTCAAACCCCAAATCTCCAGCAGGTCAAGTTGACCTTCCCGGCTTCCGTTTTCCCACTCCAAGCGATACCTCTCCTGTGCGTGAGGGCCAGGGTAGCGCATGCAAAGACATGGGGTATTCTGTTCTCAGTGAGATCCTCTTAAGAGCCCAGGGAAGCAGGAGGATGGGGGAGCAAGATTCAGGAAGTTAAGGTGACCTGCCAAGGGAAGACCAGTATTGGGCTCATTCTTTTAACCTCAAGGCCCATCATCTTCCTCTTTTAAATTGTGGTCGAAGGTTTTTGAGCATCTCCTGTGTGCCAGGTGCTGTGTGACGTATTTGCATTTGTTGGTTATCTCCCTGGCTGTACAGGACCACATGCAGATGTCAGCTACCCCACAAGTATCTTTGGAACATTTAAAGGCTAAGGGAAGGTCACTCTTCAGGGGCCCTTGACACCAGGTCATGGTTCTCCTTGACATCTGGCTTTGGAAGGAACATGGAGGGCACAAGTGAGGAGAGGAACAGATACCCACCTAGTTTTCTCAGCTCCTCGGGCCTGGGCGTCCCTGGAGGGGAGGGGACTGTGTGTCCTGAGCAGCGGACACTATCAGTCGTGACGGCTGGTGCAGAGCTCGTGGTTGGCAGTCCTCAGGTCTTCTCCCAGCCCTGCAGACTTGTGCTGTTGGTTTGCGCTGTGTTTTCAAATGAATTCCTTGCAGATCTTTAAATCAGAAATTTTCACACAACAGCAAATTTAAGATATTTGGTTTCTCTTAAGGAACTGGACCGCTGGCAACGCGGAACTCCATCCACCAGCTCTGTGGATCTGCTGTTTCTCTAGTGGAGCAGGAGCCCCGGCAGTCCTCTCTGCTCATTTAAATGAGCACTTGGCAGCCCACACACAGCTTGTATTCACACTCACAATGATTAAATCACCTGGGGTGGGGGTGTTCCTGATTGCTTTTTTTCTGACGGTGTCCTCTCTTCCTCTCTGCCTAGTCTGTGATTGCAATGGGAGGTCCCGGCAATGCATCTTTGACCAGGAGCTTCACTGGCGGACAGGCAATGGCTTCCGATGTCTCAACTGCAAGGACAACACTGACGGTCCACGCTGCGAGAGGTGCAGGGAGGGCTTTTACCGGCACCGGGACAGAGACAGCTGCCTGCCTTGCAACTGTCACTCCAAAGGTAGCTGATGGGCGGGGGAGAAGAAAGGAGGAATGAGTGAAGAGGAGGAAAAGAAGGAAGGAGAGAAAAGAGAAGGGCGAGGAGCAAGCAGGCAAGAGGGAGAGATCCAGCTCCAGGAACAACTGAGAACCCACCCTCCTTGCCTGTGTAGCGATTTCACTCTGAAAGAAAGCGCTCCTCTGACCTTGGGGTTGGTGGAAGCAGCCAGCGTCATTGTATCTTAGCTCACTGTGGAGTCCTGTGATTAATTTTTCCAAGGTAGATGAGAGCCTGTGAAGCCAGGGACAAAGGAAGCTTGCTCTTTTCCATGGCTAGCTCCTCATACCCATAATTGTCCCTTTGACCAACCTCTTGGAAAACAGGGATTTCAAAGATCTGTCTCTGGTCCTGTGCTTGGTGCTGGCAATATGAAGTGGTACTAATAAAAGAGAGAGATGAGGAAAAAAAAAGGATTAGAACCTTTCACAGGGTGTGAGCAGAGAAAAGAAAATAACCAATAGGAAGCACCTAAGGAGCGGCAGGCTCACAGGAGAACTAGCTGATTTTTTGTGTCCTGCCCAGGGCTCTAGTCACAGAACTGTAGATGTTTGGTGTGTTCCTGGATGCAAGCGTTGTGTGGTAGGCAGACAGTCAAGGTACACTGGTAAAGGCAAGTAGCTCTGTGAGTGAGCTGAGTGTTTTGATTGCCTTCTTGTCAATTATCTTTCTTGGCATTATCTACTTTCCTCTTTGCCAGAAGGTGTTCAACAGCATGATATGATAAATACTAATCCATTTAATGGGTATAACCTCGGTGCCTGATAGGACTTGGTGTAGCTCTGCAGAAGCCATTTGTAGTTGTAGCTGAAAGAATCGAAACAGGAGCAGATTTTGATGCAGCCGAAATGAGTTGCTGGCAGGGTGTGGCAGGAGCCTTATAGAAAACTGGAGTAACCTGTAGTGATATGGACCTGTATCGCAGCGGTCAGTCCCAAATTCATTATGTTGCTGTTTCAATGTATTTTGGGTCAGATTTGCTTAATTTTGTGGTATGGAATCTGCATCCAGTATCTTTTGGATTTAGCAGTGCTCCCTATCAATAGAAGAACTTCCTGAAGAAAATTAGAAGAAAAGTTAATCCGTTTAATGGGTATTTAACTTCTCTGAGAAGCCCCGATCCCCCAGAATATGCAGCTTCACTGTGAATCACTGGAGTCGGGTCATCCGGCAGAGTGCTTGGGAGAGTGTAATTACAGACTTGGTTGGCTCCCTGGGAAAGCCTGGCCCGAAGACAAGGTTATAATTCCAGAGGAGACAAGGAATTTGCTGCCTAACAAAAAACAAGAGGGTGGAGAAGGATTTGCCATCGCCTCTTTCCCACTGCACTATAGTCCTTTTTCCTTGGAGATGAGGCATCCTCGACTGGGGAGAAGCAGCCTGGCAGGAAGTAGTGGAGCCAGGGGTGACTTAGATCGCATGTGCCAGATAACATGCAGTGTGCCGACCTTTTCCTAGGTGCTTTTTATCCAGTTATTAATTAACCAGCACAAATGGCTTTATTATTTTTTCCATTTTACAAACGCAGAGTAGCTTGTAGAGGGAGGGAAAGACATCTGTTCAAGGCTGTAGAGCTCAGGAGCAGGGCCAGTGTTGGAGGAAGGGTCTGCTGACATCAAGATCATCATGTAGAATAGTGGCCGGCTTGGGGCCCGACAGCCCGGGCTCACATCTTGTTACCAACACTGGGACTGGGTCTCATGTTCCTTAACCTTTTCCGGTGTCCTCATCTGAGAAGGGCGGTGAGGACATTGACATCACAGCATCCTGTGGTTTGGGAGGCACAGAGTAGGCAATGACATAAATTGTTCTTATGAAGATGGAGGGCAGGGTCCCTATTTAAATTGCATCCCAGTATGAAGGAGGCCATACATTTGGTCTTAGACTACTTAACATTTGCTTTTTAACATCCCCTAGGTGGCAGTGAATATTTTAAAATATTTTTCAATAGTGGGGAAACACCTATGGCCTGATGTCTCTCAGCAGGTGACTGCAAGAACTAAAATTATAATCCAGGTCTTCTGCCTGGAACAGTTTCCTCTTATTACCACTGTATGGAAAGGAAAAAAATAAGAATGCTGTCCCATAGGGCCAAGCATGGTAGCTCATACGTGTAATTCCAGCAACTCAAGAGGCTGAAGCAGGATTATTGCAAATTCTAGGTCAGCCTGGGTAACTTAGTAAAAGTATGTCTCAAAACAAAAAATAAAAAGAGGTGGGATGATAATTCAGTGGTAGGGTACCCCTGAGTTCAATTGCTGGTAACATAGACAGACAGACAGACAGACACACACACACACACACACACACACACAAAATGTTGCCCTCTACCCTCAGAGGCAGACAATCCAGTGTCCATGAAAAGGTTTGTGGCTATTATTTCCTAAGATCTGACTAAGGCTTTATCTTCTCCAAAGCATTTTCATAACCTACAGAACACTGTGTTCTTCAAGATAGCATTCGGTATTGCCTTAGAGTGTCAAATAACGTTTGGAAACATTGGGCATTTTAGATAAGCTTTTTGCCTACTGAATGTATTATTAACGTTATAAATTTCTGAAAGATTTATTATGTACCATTTCTCAAACTCTTGAACACAGAGTACTTATTCTCATGGGATGACAGTTAGAACATGATTTGGGGCTATTTGCTCCAAATCCAGAACAAAGTTCAGTATTTCCCATTTTATAAGGGCAATTCAGATCTGAAAACTGCTGAAGAGAGATTAAAAAAAAAACCAAAAACTGAAAGCGTAATTACCATTTATTTGAATGGGTAAATATGTGTCTGAATCCAAATTGTATACTTCTTTTATATAATTAAAAATTTCCGGACAGGAGTGGTGGCACACACCCATAATCCCAGCACTCAGGAGGCTGAGGCAGGAGGATCACCATGAGTTCCAGGCCAGCGTAGGCTACAAAGTGAGTTCAAGGCCAACCTGAACTGCATAGTGAAACCACTGTCTCAAAATGGCAAAAAAAAAAAAAA